TCATCATTGGTCCACTAGTTCTAGATTGACAGCTCCTCCTCTAGCCAATCAGTCCAAGAGGGGCGGTGACGTCACTCCAACGCGCCTCATTACTGCCGATGCTCAGTGTTCTGTTTACTTGTACAGGTGAAAATGGACAACTGTCAGCTGGGAAACATCTTTCCATACAGGATATATTATATGTGTCTGTCTGTCACTGCTGTACGCCTACCTGGCGATCCGTTAATGTTAAATGAGCCGTCCTAGTGACCTGTTGCGGTTATATTCACCTGTATTTATTCGCCTCCGGTCACATTGCGAAAGGGAGCAGCCACTAAATGCAGCGGCCTCACGAAGTCACTGATGTGCCTGGCTCGCCTTTACCTGACTTATTATAAGTCTTGTTATGGTTATTACTGTTAGGAGAGGATAATATGAATAAGAGCAGGGGTTTTCAAACTGGGGTCCGTGTTGTGACCCAAAGCCAGGGGGTACCGCAAAATAATTTGCTGTACTGTATTTTCCTGACTACACGTTGCATTTCTTATCTTCTGAACGTGCTATGATTTATATTCCAAAGTGACTTATACAATGCATTTAATGTCAAATAAGCAAAACGTAAACAGGTAAAAGCGGGCACTTCAAGGTTTCTATAAATATATTTCTCATTCTGTGTGACAAGTATAGTGTTAGACAGTAGGCCTATCGCTGAGTTTTTCTTCATTTCAGGAAGAGGTTCACAGAGACGGCAAGTGCATTTTGTATGTTTTCTTTATTTTACAAAAGTACAACGTTTCACTGTTATTTTGAAGGTACACAAATAAAAAATAGATTGTTTTGAAGGTACCCAAATAAAAAAATAGATAGTTTTGAATGATGTCTTGCTCTATCTATCACATCTTTCCACTGATGTGAGTAACCCAAGTGTTCGCGCCAGCGCCTCCCGCGCGCACACAACATAATCAGTTCTAGCATTGCAATCTTTACATCCCAGCCTCTTCATCATCAAAGTAAATGAGACAACTAAACATACAAAAGGTATTGGTGACTCAATTTAGCTTGTCTTTTTTAAAATATGTAGGTTTTGCCGGTCAGCGCGAGCATCACCGTGCCGTGGTGTTTTCCAAACATATTTTTTGCATATGTGAAGGATGTTGTTTAAGTAGATATTCAGATACGAGAGAAGTACAAAGCCTTCTTAACAAAATAAATAGGCTAATAGTTTATCAACCAAATGTTACACCGCGTCTAACGATTCACTCATGGAAATGAGAGGTATGTGAGCCCAGCAGGAGGTTCAGTTTTTAGTTTCGTTTTAAATGAGTTATAGGCTTAGCATTTAAAATAAATGGTGTTTGTAAAGAATGGCACTATAATTTATTTTATGACATACAGTTAAGCAAAACACGAGGAAGAGTGTTTTTCCTAATATCAGGACCATTGTAAATGTTTATTGAACTGAATCAATATAGCAAGAAGTATATTTCTTATATTCGAAAAGTATATAAGTATATTCGAAACTACTTTGTTTGGCCTTCCAAAAGAGGACGATATCCACTTCGTCATGCCTAGAGCTGATCTGTGCT